AGGCTACAATGCTTGATAAGAAATGTACTCATTATCTTGCCCATGTAATTGTAACCCCTCTGTACAGTATTTTCACAATAAAAAAAAAAGAAAAACAAAACAAAACAAAAATTGTGTACCTAGGGGCTGGGAAGGTGGCTCAGTGGTAGAGTGCTTGCCTTACCTGCATGAGGCCCTGGGTTCAATTCCTCAGCACCACATAAACAGAAAAAAACGAAGTGGGGCTGAAGCTCAAGTGGTAGAACACTAGCCTTCAGCTGAAGAGCTGAGGGACAATGCCCAAGCCCAGAGTTCAGGCCCCATGACCGACCAAAAAAAAAAATTTTTGTACCTAACATCTTAGGACTTGACTATAGATTAGCTACACTGAGCAACAAAATTTTAGTGCAATGTCATGATGGTATTTTCTCTATGGAGACTGCTGGTGCTACCCTTCTTCATGCAAAACTGTTGGGGGAAAAATGACCTGAGATTTTAAAATAAAAATTTGAAGTGACAATAAAAGCATAAGATATTTCATAATTAGAACAATGAAAAGTTCCTCCTATCTACCACAGTATCATTATTTATTATATTTGTACATATACACATACATTTATGGCTTATTCCTACTACTTAAAATATCCTATTTTACCACATATTGAAAAATTACATTTTAATTTGTACAATAAGTTAAATCTTTATAATGGCTACTGATATAGGTGAGTGGATCTCATTGCACTTGCCTGTTCATATGGAAATTAATTATAGACAGACATAAAATGGTATACACATGTTTCTCAGATTACTTAGATCATACTTATTACTCTCATCTACCCACAGTTTTACTTTTTTTACCTTTTGAAGGAGAAGAGGCTGATGTTAGTAATGTGGAAAGTGTCCTAGAAAATATCAGCCCAGAGCTCACAGCTAGAGGAAGCCAGGTCCTGATGGAAAATGTGCTAGTTGACTGTAAGTACTTTCAACAACAATATAGCATTAAAGGGAATTACAGTTGTGCATGTTTTGTGACAGTCCATAAATTGTTGTAAAATGTCTTTTCACAGATAAAACTTATGAAATGAGATTAGAAGATGATGTGAGATCCTTACAAGGTGAGTGAATTGCATAAAGGAAAGGCACCTGAATGTGCCTTTAAATTGCAATGTGCTTTTTATTGCATTTGTTTCCCATAAAATGTCTTTTACTTGATAAAAATATTTAAAAAATACTTCCCCAAAATGTTCACTCATCTTACCTTCAGGGCAAATTGTCTATTTCTTCCTTAAAAGCCAGTGATAAGAATGGGGGTGGGGGAGAGAGGAAGGAGTGACATTGTCCAAAAAAGAAATGTACTCATTACCTGACTTATGAAATGATAACTCCTCTGTACATCACCTTCATAATAAATGTAATAAAATAATTTTAAAAAACAAGAAACAAAAACAGCCAGGTACCTGATGGCTCAAACCTGTAACCCTACTCGGGAAGCTGAAATCTGAGAATAACGGTTCGAAGCCTGCCCAGGTATAAAGTCCCCGAGACTCTTATCTATAATTAAGCACCAAAAAATCTGAAAGTAGAACTGTGGATCAAGTGATAGAGTGCTAGCTTTGAGTGAAAAAGCTCAAGGGCAGTGCACAGGCCCTAAGTTCAAGCTCCAAGAATGGCACACACACACACACACACACACACACACACACAATGCAGTGATAAGAAATATAAAAGATGAAGCTGGGAAGAATGAGAAAATAAGTCAAATGTAGGTGAGAACTAAAGGGGAAAAGTAAGATAGGGCAGAAGCAATTAAGAAGGATAGGGAAAATTAAGAAGGCTACTGAATTTTAATTATACTATTACATTAAATTTTATGGGGCAAATAATAATGTTTATCATTCTGAAATTATGACTTTTTAATGGTGTCTTAGTGAGTCTCTTGTGACTTGATTGTACCTTTCCTATAGATAGTGAAAAAACGTACGAAATGAGATTGGAAGAGGGCATAAGATCATTACAAGGTGAGTGAAATACATAAACTTCTGCTATCCTGTCTTAAAATTTTTTTTACCATGTATATGATTCTTTTAGAAATCCAAATGGATAGTAGTGTTTTGTGGTAGATGGTAGTCTTATACTTGAGATTTTCCCATTTTTTGAATGCAAAAGAATTGGATATTATGTTAACATTTGAAAAACTAAATGATAGGAATGGAAATTTTAGTAAGAGATGGAGCATACAATCTTCTAGAAACTGAGAAAAGCAAATGTTATTTTTTGGTAAATATCTTAAATTTGTCTTCTCTTTAACTATAAATTGCTAAGCAGTACTCATCTAGCCGCTTAAAAACATAAGATTAGAGGAAGACATTCTAATTCTATACTGGCATTGAGATTTCTAGTATACTGGAGTGAGTAGACTTCACTAGGCTTAATCTTTGTGCACTATGTTATCTTAAGGCCCTGAAAATTATAACTATAAATAATACATAGTAATTCAGCCCTGCTCATGTTTTTTTTTTT